AAATACCTTTTTCCTGATACTTATATCGTACATCTCGCAGCTTATCCATCTGTTCCTTAGCATGTGGTTAATCCAGTTACGGAGCACCCGGTCAACATAAAACTGGTCTAGGGATTGGATAATAGTATCAGTGTGCACATTATTGAAGGCGCCTTCGATGTCAATGCATACCGCCAGTGTATACAGTTTGTCCTATGTAGTGGACAACTTCGTTTAAAGCTGTTTCCACCGATCGTCCCTATACATAAACATGCTGCTTAAATTTTAGGTCTTTGTCGGGTATACTGCTTTTCACCATAATATCAACTATCCGTTCTAAAGTTTTAAGTAGGAAGGACGTAAGACTTATCGGTCGATAAGACTTAGGTGTCGAATAGCTAGGTTTAGGTTATAAATATTACCCTTGCAATCCTGCCATTTAATGGGGGTATATGTGAATTTCAAGCATGCAGTGAATATCTGAGACAGATGTACGGAAACCGGTCCCGCCTCCATCTGTAAGAGTGCCGGGAAAATGCCATCCGGCCCTGCAGCTTTATAGGGAGCGAAGCTCTTGATTGCCCCTTTAACCATATCAGATGTAATTACAATTTCCGTGTTAGCATCCCCTTTCTCCAATATCGGTTCATCTATGTTATTCGATATACCGAGTGGAATATGAGAGTCCATTAGGAGTTTCATTGTCTCCTCCATATCCTCCAGCCTCCTGCCCGTTTCATCGACCATAGATTCTGGTTGGACATGAGTTTTGGATAGGAATTTTTTTATCTTCGATACGTCATTTATGCTGTCTACCTGTTCACAGAAAAGTTTCCAGGATTCTCGTTTGGCTTTACGAACAATTTTCTTATATTCACCAAGTTTACTACGATACTCATCCCAGTATACTGCGGTTTTCTTACGCCGTGCCCGGTTAAATAGTTTGCGAAGAGTCTTACCAAGGTTCCGGATCTCCCCGGTTACCCAGGGTTTCTCCTGGGCAGATCTCCGCTCTCGCAGAGGGCAGCTGTCTTCGAACGATTCAACCAAGGCACTTGTGAGCATTCCTACTTTGGCGTCTATGTCCTCTTTATTTCGACATTGAAAAGTGTTCTGACATAAACGGTTCTTTAGTAAGGAACCGAACATTGTCCAATTAGTTTTAGACTTATTCCGAAACTTTATCGGCTTTGGTGGCGGCCGTAGTATTTTGAATCTTATGTACCGATGGTCAGAAAAGGAGTGCTCCTCCGAAACTCTCCAATCCTGAATTTCGTTTATAAGCTCTTCTGAACATATAGTTATATCTAATACTTCTTCTCTGATTCTATTACTAAATTAAGATATCCATATACAATTTGGTACAAGTATTGCTCACATATACAGAAATATTACTATGAAAGTTTTTTCGGATCGGTCCATAATTGGTCATAGCTCTCATAACTCATTGCTAAATTAAAATATCCATATAAAGTTTGACACAAGTATTGCTCATATACACAGAAATATTACTGTGAAATTTTTTTTTATCGGTACATAATTGATCATAGCTCCCATCCAAGGTCCCTTTCAGAAAAACACTTAAAAGCACTTAACTCATTACCAAATAGTGATGCCCATAAAAAATTTGGCATACATATTATTTTCGGTTCATCTTTGGTCATAGCTCCCATACAAGGTTCTCTCCCGAAAATCACTTAAACGCACATAACTCATTACAAAATTTTGATATCCATACATTTAGCACAAATATTGCTCTTATATAAATAAATTACACTATAAAATTGTTTTACGATCGGTCCATATTTGGTCATAGCTCTCATACTAGGTCCCCTCCAGAAAATCACTTAAATGCACAATATTCATTACTAAATAATGATATAGATACAGAATTTTGAAATTTTATCTTTATATACATAATTGGTCATAGCTTCCATGCAAGATCCTTTTACGACAATCTCTTAAACGCACATTACTCATTCGGTCGGTCCCATGCAAGGTTTCCTTCAGAAAATCACTTGAACACACATTACTTATTACTAAATTACGATATAGATACAAAATTTTACTGAAATATAGCTTTTATGTACAGAAACTTTGCTTAAAGAATTTTTTACGATCGGTCTATAATTTGTCATATCTTCCTACTATATTGCTCCTAAAAGCAATTTAATCGTATTTAACTAGTTGCATTATCAATTTGTGTAGAACAAAATTATATATATGTATTTTGAAAATCCTTAAATCTTTCACACACATGCACATTATTAAATATCGTTAAAGCATATCTTAGGACGCTATAAAAATATAAAAGAAAATAGGGTTTGTAATGTTCAACAAATCTTTGAATGTAACAGATTTTAACTGTTTAAATCTTGGGGATTTTCTATTTAAGACATGAGAAAACTTATTTCTACAAATATTTGATCAATTAAAAACGTATTAATATAAAAGTAGCTGGTGGAGGATATTTAAGATTCGGTTCAGCCGAATATAGCACTGTAACTTATTATTCATTAGCTTTTATACATCCACACTAAAGTTTTGACTGAATTTAGACACCACTTATTAAATCCGAAGAAATAAGGGTCAAATATCGTTAGATGTACAAAGCAGATACCCAAATAATTTTACTTATTAAAATATCCACGTCTTCCTTTAATTAAAAAAAAATTCGGAATTTGTAAATGGTAAATGGAAAATGTGTGCTGGAATTATTAAAAATTATTAATTAATTTGAAAAGCTTAGAATCAATTTATCCAAATTTTATATGAACAATGCTTTATATGCATCGTTTGAGAGGTCTACCTACACTATCGGACAAAATAAAGTGCAAAAGTACTCATGTTATATTCTTTCAGCGAAAAATCTGTTAAATGATTACTGAATATGGAATTTTTTAAAATTCATTTAGTTTATATGCAATGCTACAAAAATTACAATAAAACAAAATAATTCCACCTAAAATTTTCTGTATAACATCCAAAATTAAAGTAAATTCACCTTTTTGTCGGACAAAATAAAGTGTAAATTTTATATATCATTATTTAAATTTTTTGTATATCAAAATTTTTTATCTATTTTGGTTCTGATTTGAATATCTGGATCTACTTAAGCCATTTTTTTAATTTTTTTACCATTATTATTCGCAATCGCCTTCCCTTCCCCTTGCTTTCCCCCATACGATTATTTTCAAATGAAATCCGTTTTTGTTCGCTATTTCAGCAGAATTTTTTATCAATTGTGGTCAAAAATTAATCTATTGGATTTAGGGCGATGGTCTGAGTAGGTCATTCCAATTTTTCAGTGTTTTTTTTTCTTACAGTAATGTTTTTAACCTTTGTCGTGTGTTTGAAGTCATAAATCTGTTGAGGCATTAAGTGTCCCAAATCCATTTTTACGGCATTTATTTAAAAAAAAATTATTTAATACGCTCGTGAATTGCTCAATTGTTATTGTTTACTCCATCTTCACTAAGATTCCCGCTCCTAAGGTTGAATAACGTACCAATACCGATAGCCCCCCACCATAATGTTTAAAACCTGGGGTATTGTTTTTAAAATATTGTATATTGAAGGGTTTAACTCACACTCATTGTCGACATTTTAAAATTTTCGGTACAAATTAGGACTCATCTGACTATCTACGCAAATTTGAGGTAAAAAATACAAAATTAAATACTAAAACCGAAAAAAAATTTCCATGCTTTTAAATGTGTTGGTGAAAGATTGAACGTATGGGTCAGTTGACTCTTCGTATGTGTTTAATTTTTAATGTTAGCTGTGGGGAACCTAGGGGAAATTTATTCAAAAAGCTCTAGTGAACACTATGTGAGCATATTACAGTCAAATCTTAAGATCAGTGCCTTCGAAATGGACTTGGGCAACTTTATATCTCGGAAAGATAATAAGCTTAAGCGCTTGATAAAGTTAAAAAATAGCATTACTTTAGGAAAGAACACTGAAAATTTAAATAAGTTGCTCAGAGCACCGCCCTAAATCCAATAGATTAATTTTGGACCACAATTGATCAAAAAATTCCGATGAAATAGTGATCAAAAACGGATTTCTTTTGAAAATAATCATATGCGAAAAGCAAGGGGAAGGAAGGGCGATTGCGAATAACAATGGTGAACAAAATTACCAAAATGGCTTAAGTAGATCCAGATATTCAAATCAGAACCAAAATAGATAAAAAATTTTGATATACAAGAAATTTAAATAATGATATATAAAATTTACACTTTATTTTGTCCGACAAAAAAATTGAATTTACTTTTATTTTAGAAGTTTTACAGAAAAATTGTAATTACAATAATTTAGTTTTATTGTTATTATTGTAGCGTTGTATATTAACTAAATGATTTTGAAAAAAATTTCCATATTCAATAATCATTTAACCGATTTTTCGATGAAAGAATATAGCATGAGTACTTTTGCACTTTATTTTTTCCGATAGTGTATATAAGATTTGAAAAGGTGCTGTCTTTCGGGACACTCTAATGAGTAGTCAAATACATATCTTCATGGTTTTTTTTGGATTTGGGCTGCATTTGAAAAATGAAACCGAATTTATATCAAGATAATTTTTTGATGGCATGTTTACTTGATCATAGATTTTTATTGTTATCTCGATTAACAATTAATTTAAATTTTTTATCTATATATATATATGTGGTATTGCGCCATCTAGGTGTGACTTACCTTACAAAACCCTCAACATATGATGCAAGTTATATCATCTGTTAATCTAGTTCTTAAGCGAATGTAAACTTAAAATGAATTAATAAAAAGTCACTTATAATTCAACTGCTAAACACGATACATCATAGTGGCGACGAGCTCTGATAAAAAAATCCAACAGTGTGTATAGCAAATAAATAGAAACCGTTAATTTTTCTAGCTGCGAATACCTTTTGTATATAAGGTAGTTTTTATATAATAAATATTATATAAATAAGCAGATTTTCTGCATAAAAAAATCGTGGAATTTTAGTGGGTTTATATTTCAAATTGGCATAATGCCTGGACCAAGTGATACAACAATAGCTCACAACGGGAGTCTTTTTGCAACATCTTTGGCAACTGGTATAAGGGAATTCCGGACGGGTGTGGATCGGTGGTCTCATTGGCAAGAGGTGTTGGATTCTCATTTTGTGGAAGCAGCAATAGAAGAAGACCGCATAAAAACGTCAACGTTGTTGAAGGCGGTCGGTCTTGAGGCATATGGTTTGTTAAGGGAACTGTGTTTCCCTGATTTACCTGCCAAGAAGAAGTATAATGAATTATGTGGCATGTTAAATCAATATTATTCACCCCCAGTGATCATTTTTCGAGAGCGTAGAAATTTTTTTGACGCCAAAAAGAAGAGTGATGAATCAGTAGCAGTGTGGTATGCACGTCTTAAAAAATTGGCAATGGAGTGTAAATTCGAATAATACAAATACAAAAGAATAATACAAATACTGAACGGGGAAGCAAAAAGTATAACACCAACAAGAATAAAGAAGAAGCGGCTGGTAGCAGTAAATACAACAAACAGTTTAATGTGCATGAGAATAACGGCAATAAGAAGAAAAAGAAGAAGTGTATTCATTGCGGATGGAAGAATCACGCTAGCGACAAATGCAAATATAAAAACAGTATTTGTCATAAGTGCAACAATTTAGTAAGTGTTTGTAGCTCTAACAAAATAAATGTACTTCAAGTATCAAATAATGAGTTTCATAACAAAAATATTTTGAAAATAATAATGTTGATGACGATAATGCTTTTTATACCCTCCACCACCATCAGTGGTGATAGAGGGTATATATAACTTTGTCATTCCGTGTGTAACACCAAGAAATATTCATCTGAGACCCAACAAAGTATATATATTCTGGGTCCTTATCAAATTCTGAGTCGATTTAGCTATGTCCGTCTGTCTGTCCGTCTGTCTGCCTAAAACACGCTCACGTTAAAACTAAGCAAAGGAAGTACGCCAAATTCACCGAAAATATTCATTGTTGTCCTAAGCAGTTTGGTATTGAAAATGAGCAAAATCGGTTCATACCGGGAAAAGTTATGAATCAAAATTTAAAACAACCTCGAAAAAAATAAGCATTTTTTACACATTCGGATGCAATTTTCTCGAAAACTATGCAAGATAAATTCATGAAAATCACCATGAATAAGTTTTTACGCAAGAACTTGATCTCTGCTGAAAATTGCCAGAATCGGTCCACAATTTCATATACCTCCCATACAAAAGTACATATTCCCGGAAAATGGGTTTTTATACCCTCCACCACCATCAGTGGTGATAGAGGGTATATATAACTTTGTCATTCCGTGTGTAACACCAAGAAATATTCATCTGAGACCCAACAAAGTATATATATTCTGGGTCCTTATCAAATTCTGAGTCGATTTAGCTATGTCCGTCTGTCTGTCCGTCTGTCCGTCTGTCTGCCTAAAACACGCTCACGTTAAAACTAAGCAAAGGAAGTACACCAAATTCACCGAAAATATTCATTGTTGTCCTAAGCAGTTTGGTATTGAAATGAGCAAAATCGGTTCATACCGGGAAAAGTTATGAATCAAAATTTAAAACAACCTCGAAAAAAATAAGCATTTTTTACACATTCGGATGCAATTTTCTCGAAAACTATGCAAGATAAATTCATGAAAATCACCATACATAAGTTTCTATACGAGAACTTGATCCCTGCTGAAAATTGCTAGAATTGGTCCACAATTTCATATACCTCCCATACAAAAGTACATATTCCCGGAAAATGGGTTTTTTGTTAATAACTTCCGTCACAATGTCGATATTTTCACAAAATTTCACAAATTAAAATCTTATGTCAATAGAATTCATTCAGAGAAACAATTTTCTGGATCGGTCCATAATTGGACATAGCTCCCATACAAGGTCCCCTCCCGAAAATCACTTAAACGCGCATAACGCATTACTTAATTAAGATATCCATATAAAATTCGGTACAAGTATTGCTTATCTTCACAGAAATATTACTGAGAAATTTTTTTCCGATCGGTCCATAATTGGTCATAGCTCCCATACAAGGTCCCCTCCCGAAAATCACTTAAACGCGTATAACTCATTACTTAATTAAGATATCCATATAAGATTTGGTACAAGTATTGCCTATCTATACAGAAATATTACTGAGAAATTTTTTTCCGATCGGTCCATAATTGGTCATAGCTCCCATACAGGTCCCCTCCCGAAAATCACTTAAACGCGTATAACTCATTACTTAATTAAGATATCCATATAAAATTTGGTACAAGTATTGCCTATCTGTACAGAAATATTACTGAGAAATTTTTTTCCGATCGGTCCATAATTGGTCATAGCTCCCATACAAGGTCCCCTCCCGAAATTCACTTAAACGCACATAACTCATTACAAAATAAAGATATCCATATAAAATTTGGTAGAAGTATTGCCCGTATGCACAAAAATATTACTGTGAAATTTTTTTCCGATGGGTCCATAATTGGTCATAGCTCCTATACAAGGTCCCCTCGCGAAAATCACTTAAAACCACATAACTCATTAGTAAATGAACACATCCATATAAAATTTGGTACAAGTATTGCTCTTATATACAGAAATATTACTATGAAAGTTTTCTTGGATCGGTCCATAATTGGTCATAGCTCCCATACAAGGTCCCCTCCCGAAAATCACTTAAACGCGCATAACTCATTTCTAAAGTAAGATATCTATATAAAATTTGGTACAAGTACTGTTGTATGACTGAGAAATATTACTGAAAATTTTTTTTCCGATCGGTCCATAACTGGTCGTGGGTCCCATACAAGGTCCCCTCCCGAAAATCACTTAAAACCACATAACTCATTACGATTATTTTGTATTTCGCGGAATAATTAGTTTCCTTCCAAATTTTAATTAAAAATAAAAACTAAGAAGTACTAAAGCCCTCCCGCCACGTCACGGCTTATTCCATGGGAGGGTAAATATGATATTTCACATATTCAAAGTCTGATGAGGAAAAAGTTAGTATTTATATTATTATAAACTAAGTCCAATTATAATGAGCATAACTACTCATATTGTTATTATACCCTCCACCACCATCAGTGGTGATAGAGGGTATATATAACTTTGTCATTCCGTGTGTAACACCAAGAAATATTCATCTGAGACCCAACAAAGTATATATATTCTGGGTCCTTATCAAATTCTGAGTCGATTTAGCTATGTCCGTCTGTCTGTCCGTCTGTCTGCCTAAACACGCTCACGTTAAAACTAAGCAAAGGAAGTACACCAAATTCACCGAAAATATTCATTGTTGTCCTAAGCAGTTTGGTATTGAAAATGAGCAAAATCGGTTCATACCGGGAAAAGTTATGAATCAAAATTTAAAACAACCTCGAAAAAAATAAGCATTTTTTACACATTCGGATGCAATTTTCTCGAAAACTATGCAAGATAAATTCATGAAAATCACCATACATAAGTTTCTATACGAGAACTTGATCCCTGCTGAAAATTGCTAGAATTGGTCCACAATTTCATATACCTCCCATACAAAAGTACATATTCCCGGAAAATGGGTTTTTTGTTAATAACTTCCGTCACAATGTCGATATTTTCACAAAAATTTCACAAATTAAAATCTTATGTCAATAGAATTCATTCAGAGAAACAATTTTCTGGATCGGTCCATAATTGGACATAGCTCCCATACAAGGTCCCCTCCCGAAAATCACTTAAACGCGCATAACGCATTACTTAATTAAGATATCCATATAAAATTCGGTACAAGTATTGCTTATCTTTACAGAAATATTACTGAGAAATTTTTTTCCGATCGGTCCATAATTGGTCATAGCTCCCATACAAGGTCCCCCTCCCGAAAATCACTTAAACGCGTATAACTCATTACTTAATTAAGATATCCATATAAGATTTGGTACAAGTATTGCCTATCTATACAGAAATATTACTGAGAAATTTTTTTCCGATCGGTCCATAATTGGTCATAGCTCCCATACAAGGTCCCCTCCCGAAAATCACTTAAACGCGTATAACTCATTACTTAATTAAGATATCCATATAAAATTTGGTACAAGTATTGCTTATCTGTACAGAAATATTACTGAGAAATTTTTTTCCGATCGGTCCATAATTGGTCATAGCTCCCATACAAGGTCCCCTCCCGAAATTCACTTAAACGCACATAACTCATTACAAAATAAAGATATCCATATAAAATTTGGTAGAAGTATTGCCCGTATGCACAAAAATATTACTGTGAAATTTTTTTCCGATGGGTCCATAATTGGTCATAGCTCCTATACAAGGTCCCCTCCCGAAAATCACTTAAAACCACATAACTCATTAGTAAATGAACACATCCATATAAAATTTGGTACAAGTATTGCTCTTATATACAGAAATATTACTATGAAAGTTTTCTTGGATCGGTCCATAATTGGTCATAGCTCCCATACAAGGTCCCCTCCCGAAAATCACTTAAACGCGCATAACTCATTTCTAAAGTAAGATATCTATATAAAATTTGGTACAAGTACTGTTGTATGACTGAGAAATATTACTGAAAATTTTTTTTCCGATCGGTCCATAACTGGTCGTGGGTCCCATACAAGGTCCCCTCCCGAAAATCACTTAAAACCACATAACTCATTACGATTATTTTGTATTTCGCGGAATAATTAGTTTCCTTCAAAATTTTAATTAAAAATAAAAACTAAGAAGTACTAAAGCCCTCCCGCCACGTCACGGCTTATTCCATGGGAGGGTAAATATGATATTTCACATATTCAAAGTCTGATGAGGAAAAAGTTAGTATTTATATTATTATAAACTAAGTCCAATTATAATGAGCATAACTACTCATATTGTTATTTTAATATTAAATTAATTTTTGGAATATATACCACTATATGGCAATTAATATACCGTCATGATGACTGTAAATTGTTGGATACATTTTTACATTTACATGGTTCAATGGTATATTTGAAAAAACCCAATCAATCTGTGTTCCATGTTTTGTGGTTGCAGTTGTCGGTTTTAGGTGCGATACGAGTCCTCTTTGTGTCAATTTTCTCTCAGTAATACTATTTGGATCCGTTTTGCGACACTTATTAAAATCTCCTACAATAAGGATTTTGTCAATTTCTGTTGTAATATGAGTCTGCAATTGATCGATAGCTCGCTTCAAGAATAATCTAAAGAGGCCTTCAGCAAACGAGGGGCTCCTATATAAATTAATTATGTAATTGTTGTGATACCGGAAGGCTATGTATTGAAATGAGTATCCAAGAACATGATCCTCTTTAAATAATAAGTTTACGTTAGATATTTTATCAGTTTTTACATAAACTGATATCCCTTTCTTATTTCGGGACCTCTCTTCATGTTCAGCATTAAAAC